ACCTGCAACAACCTGGATGATTGCAATTTTCTCCCTCTCTTTGCTGCCATCTGGTGGTTACCTGGATTCCTGCAGCCCTGACATATAGCCCTAAGAAAGCCCGTGGAGCCAAATTCGAGAGAATTCGCAGGTCAAAATGCACCCTCTTCGTTTGCAGGGTATGTATTTTCGCTGCTCCCACTTGGGTGAATCGAGCTTTGAGGACCCACACTCCATGTGGGACAATGCTGGGGCAGCCTGAAGAGCAAAAATGGCCAACCAACTTCGACCACACAAGCTATGTTGCACATTATGCGTTAGTCAGGTCAATGAAAGACCTGCGCAAAGGGAACATGGTAAATATAGTTTGCTTTAATCCTGGTTAGATTTTGGGGGGTAGGTTTGTGGAAACCCAGGACATTTGGGTCACTGATGATTCCTTGCACCATGGAAGCCCAGAGATGATAGGTTAAGGTCAGGGTTAGCATGTTAGAAGGTTAGGCCAAAGAGATGGGAATGAGAAACTGGTGTATTACAGAGGTAAATTTCATGTGTGGACTTTTTTTAAACAAAAGGAAAGGTACTTTTTTTTTCCTGGGGGAGCCATAACAACAGCAGATTCTTTCTCTCTTTAATGCACTTTTTTTTTGGGTAGAATGATGGAGGAGACAGTCCAAAAAGTGGGCAGAGTGGCAGTTAATACATCAGTCTGGGTATAAAGCATGTCCTATTTCATCCGAGAGACAAGCACGTCCATCTTTTGGCATGTAACAAACACCCTAAAGTAATGGTGGTCCTACAGCCCTGTCCTTCCTTCCAAGCAATGCATTAAGGTTCCTGAAGGCCAGATGATTAAGCAACAGCGCTAGCTAGAGGTGCTTCAGAAGCTCAAGATGGGCTGCATTCCTCCAACCAGGCTCGGTTCCTTGGTACTGCATTTTGAGAAACCCAATTTGAACTGTAAGCCTCAGCTTACCTGATTCTGACAAAGAAGTTCCACCTCTTTGTGAGATTTCAATGAATCATGGAATTGTAGAGTTGGAAAGTACACAATGACCATCCAGCCCAACCCTCTGCCATGGGCAGGAAAACCAACTATCTATCCATGAGAGGGTGCTGTCCAGCCTCTTCTTAAAAAGCTCCAGAGATGGAGAACCCACAACTGCCATAGGTGAGTGATCGATTCTTGCACAGTTCTTGCTGTTAGGAAGCGTTATATTTAAATGAATTCTACATAGCTGCAACTTATACCAATTATTTCTAGTCCTAGTTTGGTTATGGCTATGGACTAGAGTTCCTGACCATCTTCCCTATGGCCCCCTTTTAGGAGGCTGAATACTGACAGAATATCTCTCCCACGTCTTCTTTGCTCCAGACTCAATACCCCAAGCTCCGTCAGCCTGTCCTCAGAGAGCATGTCCTCAAGTTCCTGGATCATCTCTTCCTTCCTCCTCTGAACTCTTCTCATGACTAGTCAGAAGTATGGTTAAGGAAAGGCAACTTTAACCTCTTATTCCCCCACCTCCGTTGATGCCTGGAACGACTCCAAAATATTATTACGCAGCGTGATCATTCACTTGTTTATCCTCTCCTCCCAAATTAAAAACCCGGTGAACATGCCAGCCTAGCTCTTCAAGTCATGCAGTCCTGTTGCCTCCATGCTCTCACAGTCCTCAGCAGCTGAAAGGGGGGGGGGCTGTTGTTGGAAGAAGAAAAGAAGGGAAGGACAACGATTGTGAACCATCATATGGTCACACAGTCAGGAAGTGCTGAAAACACAAGCAGTCGCCTTGGATGGGGCTGTGAAAAGAGAAGGATGAGAACCCGGCTGCTTCATACCTTTGCAAAATCTAAGTCAACTCCCCACTTACCACACCCCAAACAGAGCCACAAATTTATGCCTAGCTATTTTGGTAAAAATCCAAGCATCAATTAACGAGAGAGTGGAAATCTGCTTGGTAAGGTGAAAAGGAGAGTAGTTCGGATTCAGACCAAGCCTTGCATTTCAGATTTCAGAGAGGAGGCAGAAACTAGAAATCTCATAAATCTTCCCACAGGGCCAAAGCACATTCTTCTCCCTTACAGCTTCAAAATGTTGGACTGCTGTAGCAACTTAATAAAATTACACTCATTAAAATGCAAATGTATTTAAAATGAACTTTGGAATACATCTATTAGGATAATTGAGCTCCAACTGACTGTAAGTTGCAACACAGATTTTCTGCCACCTTCCAGACAAGGGCACTGTCTTCCTTGTAAACGAATATCTTTGTCAGTGGGAAAACAAAGAGCTTTTTGAGAGCTAATAATTTTCAGCAGAATTCCCCAGCTGCTTTATAAGATTAAATTAACATAGATAAAGGTCAGCCTTGTGCTGTAGCAAAATAAAAATGACCTACCAACAAAGAAAGTATAGAAGTTGACTATAAATGCACTTTTGGGGTTCCGCAAGGCTGTGACGTGCATTTAATTATACCTGTTTGTTCATTCTGACACTGTATGATAAAGGATGGAGGCAAACATTGGCTTCCAATAGGACCGAGGTCCTGATACCCAAAGTCAAATATATTTAAAGCAGAAATAAAATAAAATGCAATAAATGTATTTCTCCTTAACGGGAAGCCTCGGCTGGACTCTAATGAAGCATTGCGCGCAAACTGAGTTGTTGCTGATCTATGGAATGAGGGACTGGTTCTAGGTTCCTCTTAACTTTAAAGAAACAAAGTCCAAGCCAGTGTTTCTCAACCTTGGCACTTTAAGATGTGTGGACTTCAACTCCCAGAATTCCCCA